GCTCTGCTGCGGGATACTATTTCTGTCATAATTTAAATGAGATTTAATATAATCTACAACCATAATTGTTATGTCCTAAACATAGACATAAATGTTGTCATTGTCATAAACATAAAAACTGTGGTCGTTATGCAAAAGATTGACTGGGTTTGCAGAATAAACATGAATGTAGTTAGGAGTGTTGCAAAGTCTCCACGATATATCTACTAAACTAATAAAAGTTCCATGGCGGAGACTGAAGATTTGGAAAACAGTAGGACAAAATGTTTTCAGAAGTTTCGTGCCTTTGTTGTTTGCACGATATCAAAATGGCAAGCTTCGAAGGACAACATCATTTCTCGAATGCTGATCGGTCCCACAGGGTGAGCACTGTCGCTTTTGGCTGCATGTCTGAATCACTGTCCCCCACTTTTTTCCATGCGACATTCAACTCCGCAGCATATTTTTTGTTATAGTTCTTTGTGATCAATTCGAAGATTTCGTCCTTCTTCAGAAACTGATAATCAGACGGTGACTTACGAATAAGTGACAAAGCTGCTTCATGCTTAAACACCACATCTATTTTAGATCCTCCTTGGCGACATTTCCCTTCCAGTTTGTATGTCAGTCTTGCAATAAAGGTTTTTTTGTTAGGTTATACAAAGAGTATTATTATGCCTTGTGTAAACATGGGAGAATGGTCAAAAGCTTACCCTATGTTCTCTCCACGAACTTTGCAGATGCTTTTTCTGTATATAAACCTTGGAATGTTAATCAATGTCATGTAAGTAACCTGTTGCAAAAACTGACAGATGTATTATACAGGTAAACAGATGGAAATATACAGTTGTTGTCAATGCTGGTGTTTGTTCGTTTACCTCTGTGAAATCTAACAGGTCCTCCATCCTTTCTTTTATCTCTCTCAGCGATTTCTTTTGCAGTTGATTGCTCAGCAGGTGTCCAGTTTTTTTGCAAGTAGCATCATCGATGAAGTATACTGGTTTGCGACATGCAAGAAAGCTACACGTTGAAAATAAATGTGTAAGTATCACTAACTCGATAGTAGTTGAACCAATCAGTTGGGTAAACCAATATACAGCAACTCACATGTTCATGACATCCTTGCAGCAGTCCTGATAAGAATGGATGATGAGCTTGCTTGCAATTGTGGATTGAAATTCATGCTGATACTTACTGTTATGTCTAGGAGTTACTCTACTAACTGATCTGATTGTCACAATCAGTGGTAACTTTGACTCAATTGCTAGAGCATTCTTTTGAAAATCATCAATGTCATGGCCACTGTATTCAACATAAGCCTTTGCCCCACTGATTGCAAACCAATGCGTTAACTATACATTTTGACAAAGTAAAAAAAAGTGTACAATCTTAAGTGCATACCAGACATCTTGTATGAGCAGGTCGAATTTCTGAATCCTTCCTTTAATTGTTTCTGGATGAGTTAGTCTTCTAACACATCCTGTAACATCTATAGATTTAATGTTTGTTATGCTTTGTTTAATGGTGTTCTTAATCATGGATAGAGAGACATATATTTACCTGAATGGTAGACAAAGTCTTCTGATGTTTGAGGCACAATGGAAAAATCGGCTGCTGTGTATGATCCTACTGGGAATTGCTGGGGTCCATTTCCTTCTTCAATGTGTCTCCTAATTTGATCTGAAGTGAGGAGCAGGCGTAACTCTCGATGGACAACGCGTTGCACTGACCTTGCTGGACCTGCTACAATATCTTGTAGTTCATGCAGGCAACCAACCTTTATTTTCTTAAAAACCTCAGATGCATCTTCTTCTTCAACTTGTGCTTCGATCAATTTGTTCTGTAAAGTCAATGCTAGATAGATATGTTGTCAAGAGTTTTTGTTCTTTTAGCATTTGCCAGTAGGTTAATTGATGTCCAGGGTTTGTATATTGGCAAGTTCTTTTGTCCTAACACTGAATCAAATGCTCTGACGAATATTTATGAATATGGTTGGGGTATCTGGAGTCAAACCTTTTTGTCAAGCCAGAGCATGTGATGTGTCCTTTTCTTCCATGTGGATAAAGGCACTTCTCGGAACTCAGTCCATGTAACGACATGTCTTGCTATAACAGTTCGATTGTTTGTTCCCAAACGCAGTACCCGAAAGCACATGCTTGATTCAATAGACTCTGCAATCCGATTAAAGACGAATCGATAAATAATAAATGGGAAAAACTTGCATAGGAATCGAGATGCGCTTGTCGGATTTCTTTCCAGATTCAATGTATTTACCTTTCAGTTCGTTCGGGTCCATTTTGTGTGGGTCCACGGAATCTCACGTATCAGTTGTACTATACAACTGTTAATCTGTTGGGTAGAAGAATGCTTCCAGTTCTTCGAGATCCTGGTTTCCCTTTTTTGTTTGTATATTGACTGCGCGGTTGATTTTAGAAGGCATAAAAAATAATCGGTAGTTTATGTAAGCTAGGGTTAACTTAGGGTAAGTCCTTTTTGGATCGATTGTTTGGGCCTTGACATCGTGTTTGGGCTCTGTATGGTATGCAATGGGTTCTAACTATTGAATCAGGCCTTTTTACAGAAAAGGCTACAATACGCTCCTGCGATGAATGTCTGTCAAGTTGTATTAGTTGGGCTCATCGATTTTCTTTCTAAGTTCTCTCTGGATAGTCCGAACCGATGTTAACTGATCATAACTCATGACTGCTTTCTAGCTTTGAGTTTCGAAATAATAAACACAAAATGTGTCTCTTGTTAAGAACAACGCAAGAACTGGAAGAACAAATTTTTCCAGGCGTAAAATTCAAAAAGTTGGGAGAGTTCATAACAATCACTTCGAGCTTCTTCGATGTTTCCAAAATTAACCAGGTGTAATATCTGTGAAGGCTTCTGAATATACAATGTTTCTCGTGTAATTGGCTGGAATGTCCTCTTCATTTTCAATCAAGAATCTCAAACCACCTGCAGATCTTACTCTTGATGCTGCCACATAAAGCTGTCCATGACTGAATACTGGTTTGGGCAAATAGACTCCAACCTTGTCCAGCGTTTGACCTTGGCTCTTATTTATAGTCATCCCATAACATAACTGTACTGGGAATTGCCTCCTCTTCAGTATAAAGGGCCAGCGTTTGTCTTCTACGTTGAGTACTATTCGTGGTATAACAACCTCTTTTGTGTCAAAAGATCCTCCCATGATGTTTCCAACAATGATATTTTCCCCCAATTTCGTAATCAATATCCTCGTACCGTTGCACAGGCCGTTTGGTGGGCTCAAATTTCTCAGCAACATGATCGGAGTGTGAACCTTAAGTCTTATTTCATGATCTGGAACACCATTGAACTGAAGAGCATTCAAAAATTCTGTTGGGTAAGTTTCAGCAAATAGCTGAGGTACCTCTGTATCAAGTTGCATAGAGTCTGAACTGTAGTAGCAATGGCAATGTCCAGGAATTTTTTGCAACATGAAGTCATTCACTTCAGTCACAACTGCATTAGTAGGAGTAACGATTGCCCTTCCACTTAGGTAATCTGTGCTCATGTGTTGTTCCTCAAATGCGTCATATATGTCATTTGTGATTGACTCGATTGGATTTTTTCCAGCATATATCAAGAGTATTTGTGGTATCTCAATCCAATCTGAAGGTGTGTTAGCCATAAAGGATTTTGTTGGAAGCCTTCCATCTCCTAACGCCAGAATCCACTCACCAAAGTTCATTCCACAGCCGACCAGGTTTCTATTATCCTGTGAATCATTAAGCCTCATGTTCCTTGACAGTTTGAGCACTTTAAAAAAGGGCCACAATGATGACCTTGTGATGGATCCATCCACTGTTTGTTCCCTTCCTGAATCTGAAATTACTGGTAGAGTCTGTCTAAAATCACCACCAAAGACTACTGTTTTCCCTCCAAACAACTTGTGTTTTGGACCTGATAGTGGTATGTCCATCAAATCACAAAACGTCCTGCTTATAGCCTCAAATGCATTTCGATGTGTCATCGGTGCTTCATCCCAAATAATCGATGAAGCTGCACGTATTAGCTCAGCTAAATGAGTACCTTTCTTTATGGAACATGTAGATGCATGGTCTATATGAAGGGCAATCTTGAACCTTGAATGAGCAGTTGTGCCGTTTGGTAGTAGTGTGACTGCTATTCCAGATGAGGCAACAACTATAGCAATTCTGGAAAGACTTCTTAATATTGCAATGATTGCATTGTAGAGAAAAGTCTTGCCTGTTCCTCCATGGCCATATAGGAAAAATGAAGTGCCAAGGTTGTTGTTGATGGAGAGAATAATGAGTGTGAAAGCCTCTAGCTGTTTTGTGTTCAGTTTGCTAACCATAGTATTTGCCAGTAACCTTTGTTGATCATCATCAAAGTTAAGATGCTCATTAATCAGGGGATTTGATCCATCGTCAGGTTCTGAATTTGTCGGTCTTGGGAGATGTAATTGCTGAAGTGAAGAACCATAAGTCCTCAATAAAGTATCCAGCTGATGTAACACCCAATTCTTAAGTCTCTCATCTGAAGACTGGAAAGTTTTTGAGTGTAGTTGTTTACGAAGAGAATAAACATGATCTTCACTCATCAACCTCCATGAAGATTCAAATAGAGCATTAGGATCAGGTATCTCGCAGAATCCATTCTGAAGAGTCCGACAGAAGCCCCAACTTTTGACATGCTCTTTCGTAAGTACTACAAACCTCCCCTTGTATTGTTCTTAAATTGAGGAAGCTTGTTGCTCCTCTTACTTTGGTCAATAGCAGCCTAAGAAAGAATATATCATCACTTCCTGGAGGAACATATGCTATCCTTCCTATTGCAAAACCTCTTTTCCTTGGAGTCCATTCACTGTATTCTTCATTCCATGTAAAGGAATTTGGTATCTGAGCATATGTAAGCTTTCTTGCATTGCAATCATGTCTGTTAAGTTCAAACCATGAAGTAAGATGAGTTTTGCCTGCCCTTGGATTTTGCAAAACATTTTGAATATTTGACCTTCTCTTGTATTAAACATTCTATTGTCCATCCATGTGTACACCAAGTCGAACCACATTAGGCTCTCTGTGGTGTATAGAATACTCGTTGATTCTCCATATAGCTTCGTATGAGGACAACAACCTGCAATCAATGAACTCTTGTATCTCGTCTTTGGTTTTTTTTTTTGTTATATTTGATGGCACCTGAACTGAGCTTGTCGAGTCTTCTGCAACAATAAGAGATCTATCGGGTCCTTTAGTAATGTACTTAAATAAGTACTTCACTAAGCCTCCCTTGTGACATATCTCCACATTAATATGGGCTTGAGCTCTAACCAATAAGTTCCGATTGTATGGAACGACATATCTATTATCCAGCATTGCCTTTCCTTTTTGAACCTGAATGCCGGAATTTCTTCTTCTGTACACGACATTGCCAAACTTGTCGAACGAAGTTTCTGAACAGAATTCTTTTGGAAAATACTTCGAACATTTACCATCTTTCATACATGGTGAAGTGGGGTTGTTAACACCACAAGGTCCATGAATCATGAACTTAACCACTGCAGCATACCCTTCTGGATCTAGATTGGGGTCTGGTATCTCTGCAGAAATCATCTCATCAATGTCAGATGTTGACTTTAGCTTATCCTCTTTGGCTAACCATATAAGCATATGGACATGTGGGAGGCCCCTCTTCTGAAACTCAACTGTGTAGATTACTGCGAAAAAACAGTCCATCATTTGAACTTGATAGCTCATTCAAATAATAAAAGAAATTTTATACAATGAAAGGTCATCTACAGGTAACTCACTAGCTATCGTTTTCCGAAATATGATTCTCTTTTAAACTCGTCAATTAATATGGCAAGCTTCATGTGAAACACACGGCAGACCACCATAGGCTTCAACTCGCTGTTTGGTCCAACCATATCTGCAAAAGCATCAACAATTTCTTCCCAAAGAGCATTGCAGGTAAATGTAACAAATAAATCTGGGTTACCATAATGTTGACAGGTTGCCATGGCATCATGATATAGTTGCTGCATATATCTTGGTCCTCCTGTATAAGATGATGGCATTATAATTCTTCCAAGTTTTTATCCATCCATGTCTCCCTTTGAAAATGCATCCTGCAACCCTTGATAAACTTCTGCTCTTAAATCTTTTTGATGAGTTCTAAGAAATGCCAGGCGATTGAGTTCAATTGTTGAAAATGCATCAACACAGTAATGTTGCAATGCCTTGCCACTTTGAACCAGTGTATGCCCCTCATTCAATCGATACTGAAGTCTAAAAGCATAATACTCTTTTTGAGTAACAAATTTTCTGCGCATTGATGCTGGACAAAAGGAGGCATTATAAGATATTTGAGGATGAAACCCATCTTCTCCGTACGGGAATAGCAATGGGAAGTGAAGAGCCTCGAATTTTGGGTTGAGGCTTGTTATACGTTTCAGCCCTTCTCCTCGATGGTCAACAATGATATCTCTATCCTCCCTATCTGCAACAAAATCACCAGGTATTAAGGCTGCAATATCAGAGCTAGTTGGCAAGTCATATTGTCAATTCCTACTTTTGATCCCAAAGATTCTGAGTCGGAGATTTGGTGTGGAAGAAAGCTGGAGATCTTGTCGAATGTGCCTAAATGTTCTGACCAACTCGTTGTTTTCATCAAGCATTCGAAGCAAATTTGCAAGTAACTCAGGCAGCAAGACTTCCTCTCGAGATGCGAAGTTTGCAAGTCTATTGTTAACCTCATTTTCAGGTTCAAATTTATATAGCTGAGCAAACTTGGGCCTATTTCCATCAACTGGAAGTAAGGATCCAATCCTATGGTAATTCTCACCACAAATAACCATCGAATAAGGTCCTCTTGTTGTCAAAGAGCGTGGATCCAGTTTGGCTCCAAAAGATGTGAAACACAAAGAACCATTGTAGGGTATAATGTTGTCTCTAAAATGCTTTGACATTGCACCTCCATTAAGATCCAACAGCTGAGCAAGCAATGGAGGTGGTGGCTTTAACAGGGGAATGCAAACTCTTCCTCTCTGACAACAAAGAATATACACAGGATTTAAGGATTTCCTGTGTCGATCCAATCGTTCAGCATACCAAAAAAAAGCACCACAGAACTGACATACACAGTCAGGTTTTACAACGCTCAGCCTATCATTGTGCAATGGCTTCCTTGCAGTTAGGACATCAGCTGATGCTTTCTTTGCTTTTTGATATTGACGATCATTTGTAGCTAAACTGCAAGATGCCTCATCACCACCCATTTCTGTATAAGGATCTGGAGGAACGAACTCACTGTTGTGAGCATTTGTCGACTTTGAAATTTCCCCTGAGAGAATGAACGGCAGGCTTCTCAATCTCTTGTTTACTCTGGTGTTATCCACGTTCATATCTGTAAAGTTGTGTGTTGGATTCCTGGAGGATTCGATTGTGAAAGAAGTGTCACCTCTCTTTCGCCTCAACAGGTTGGAAGTCGCTCTCTTCTTTCTAGGTGTCATTCTGATTAAATGAAGTAAATGTTTGATATCCAGTCAGACTTAAATGAGCCAAAAACAAAAGTTCAATAACTGCAAACTTCAGTGTTCTGTCTTGGTCAGACAGACAAAGAAGAGGATCCAAATCATTTAAAGAGGTTCCATTAATGTGTAACTGAAGAATAACGAATACAGACATGCTTAACTGTATCTGATGACGTGGTCTATATCACCAATGATGAGTGTCTCTGACTTGTAGCTCCAAACAGCTGATCATAAGGTCTTACCTTGCTGTATACTCCAGCTAGCTGATACTCCACTGAAGGGAAAAAGTCGACACAAACAGAATTACTTGCTGAACACAGGAGCAAAAACCAGAGGGCAAAGAGAAAGTTGAAGGTCCATTGATGAAATCTCTTTGATATCTGATGTGTTCCTTGATAAGATATTATACAATCAATATATAATTTTATATCAGGTGTCTAATCTCTATCCAAGTAGTCATTGTGACTGCTGGTTCTGTAACCAAGGGTAAACAATGATGGCTTTTGCATTTAATGCTTTAGATTTTGGGCACATAATTAACCCAAATTATTTAAATCTTGCAACCCAAAAGATTCCTTTTAATATTAGCACATGTCTGCTATCCATTACTAATCTCGCCTGTTCTTATCATATTTTTCTTGTGGACAATGCTTACTCTTTCCCATCACATGATGTAAAGAACATTTTTGTTATATTTGCATATACATACAGTTAAGACATAAATGTAAAACATAGGCACCTTAGATAAAAACTATATTCCTTGATAATACATAAAAACTGCTGAGCATTCACATTCTACAAAAGAGGGACCAAAAGGCCAGAATTTTGCCCACACTGGGGTCACAACATTTCAGGTGTCCAAACTGACCACCCTGATTTTGCACAGAAAATTACATGCACTTAAAACTTACACCTCATAAACAGATACCCGAAGTACCATTAGTTTTGTCTAGAAACCAACAACATAATTTCCACAAAGTTGCCAAAATTAGCCAAGAAAGGCAAGAACAAAGTTTACAAACAGGTTCCCAATAAGTTTACAAAAGAGCTGCAAACCCTCCAACCAGCACAACTTCAAACGATCAACAACATAATCATCCTGCCCACCATCAAAAGGATCTCCTCCTTGCAGCAAATCCAGCATCCACAAAAGGCAACCACCTTTCCTACACCTAGCATAACTTAGATCCAGTAAATAACATAACCAATCAACATTCATAACTAATAAATAACACACAAAGGGATCAGACTTGAATTTATACCCTAAGATTCATACAGGCGACGCTTAGCAGTAGAAGGCTTCCCAGGCGCCCGGTGTGAATCTTGGTCAGCAAGCGAAAAAGGGGACGAACTTTCTGTTTGCTCATCATCCTGCCTCACATTAGGAGATCCAGTTCCAGAAGATTCCAGCTTCTCAATCTTCACCTTAGCCAGAGGTGATATCAAGCTGCATTGTCAAAGACCAAAACAATAAATTCCGACTGCACTATAACCATGACACGATAAGTTTAAAAGTACAAAACTCACAGACTCCTTGAAGACAAAGGCGAAACTGCCGAAGATGACTTGCTGATTTTACTCTGAGGAGTTTCAGAACCCAGCCCAGCAATGGATGACAATCCATGTACTCCCTGGCTAGTAGAACTCATCACATCCATACCATCACTCAGAGTTCCAGGAGTCCCCATTGCACCTTTCACAGCACCAACTGACTGGATATTAGAGACCTTCAAAGGATCTGCTATGGTAAAAGGAGCTGCCACAACAGTCGCCCCTGGACCTGTTCCTTTTCCTTTCACATCAGCAACAGAAAGCAAAGGTGCAATAGATGAAACAGGAGGCAGTAAATTTGGCGAAATCACGTCGGACACAACAACATTCTCCTTGATTGCCAAATGAACTTGAGATGAACTGCAAGAGCCAAATGAGCACATAAGTATTTACCATGCAACAATAGCAACAAAGCACAGGTTAATGCATCAATACCAAATCAAGTAAAACAGTCCAAATGTGTTACCTGAGAGGCAACCCTGCAACCTGGCCAATCTGGAATGTTGGATTCGTCCCTCCAGGTGACACTGAGTCAACAACCTTTTCCTTTCCTTTGGATGAGCTAGATTTGTAACAGCAAAGATTAATAATTAGACTAACCCAAACCCATACCTAAACCCCCGTAATTAACTAACACATACATAACAATAGAGCAAACAACGCTCACCTAGATGGTATGGCAGCAGAAGCTGAAGCTGCGAAAGGTACACCTGGAGCAGGCAGCATCAACATTCCTTCCTGACCAGAATAGGACTGACTTAGGGTTTGGGACGAAGAAACACTGCCTGTGACATCTGGAACTCCTGTAAGACCAAGCACTGGGCCCTGAACATCACGGGGCATAACTCGGAAAACACAGAATTCACCCGTAGATACTCCACTTGACCCAACCATCGGAAGCTTGACCTCAAACCTGACAAACTGGCCGAGCAAAGCCTCAAGTTCAGGCGGCAACTGGCCAGACCTGTGAGGATATCTCTGGGCCAGCAGTTGGGCAGATGTGAGCACCAAATTGTTCCCACACGGGCCGAAAATAATGAAAGGGGCCTCGTCAGTGGCATCACGCAGGGTCAATTGGATCTTGTAGCTAGAGAGGACACAGTAAAAAACAGAGACAATTCCATCAGGATAGGCGTAGGAGTGCAAACTAAAAAAAGTAGGCAAATTCTCTAAGACCTGACAGGCACACAATTGAAATAAACAAAAACAACAACTAATGATCAGACAAAACACACACCCAACTGTCACTTGCTGCTCAGTGATCTCCCAATGGTCAGGACACCAGTAGTTACCATTTCGCCACGTAGAACACTTTTTCTGCACATGCTGCATGACATGTAATACCACGGGCTCCGGGACTCAACTGATCGGACTATACCACCGCAACGATGCTTTTCATCCTGAATATAAACATTGATAAACCCAGAAAGAAATAAACAAACATAAATAAATGGACAACCCGAAGACCATTCTAAAATCAAGAACTACATCAAAATGCAACTCACGACAGAAGCACCGCCATGGTGCAAATCAAGAAGCTCAGCTATGGTCCTGGTTCTCCGCTCAGCATCAGCAACAGCGTCCCCTGGGGTCGCAAACTTGACCGGCAAATCAGCAACAGGAACTCTGGATCCACCAAAACTGCATAGATGGACACAAAAAAAGTAAAGCAAACCAAACACCACAAAGCAAATCTGGAACAACAAAATCACAGTTTAACAACAAAGAACCCACAAAGCAGCGAGACTGTATGCTCCTGGTATCCTCGGGCTAATAACTATACGGGTTCCAGAGGAGCTCGAACAGGAATATTCACCAGCTACACAACAAAAACAAAATCAGTTCACAATTTATGATCTAGCAGAATGGAAAAGAGTTAAAATACACACCTATCAAACGACCAACCATGAGCCCCCCCAACTCCAACGATCACTGGCTCAATGGAGTCCGCTTGAATCAAAGCAGGTCGATCAAGGACTGCCGTCAGTTCATTCCAAAGCGTGATCGACACTCTCTGGCCCCTGACAGCAAAACAAAGGATCATATCTTACGTGACGGTGACGAAACAGTATTCCCCAGTGGAAAAATAAAATAACACAAAAGACCTATTGTGCATTCTCAAGGACCAGAACTTGTTTTGGAGTCGACCCGTGATTAGTAACCTGATGATCAATCCCGCTAATAGAATGAAGACGGCCGACAACATCTGACCGAAAAAAAAGAGCAGTAAGAAGACATAAAACCCAATTCATTTCAGTCAAGAAAACGCAACAATCACCTGCAAGGATACGATTGTCCCCTGAACGGTTAGACAGCTCACTATAAGGAACAACCTCAAAGGAATCAGTTGGAAATTCAGCTGCAGGTAGAGAACAGGCCTGGAAAATAGTTGTTGCTGACAACTCTATTATCAGATCAAATGAGCAAGCACGATAGAGATTCCTTGCAGCACTGAGACCAAAAGACCTTAGAACGTAGATAACTCCCACGCGCAGCACACGCTCAAATTCAGACCCAATAGAGACATCAGCAAGGCTCTGAATGAGCATACCCTGAATTAAAAACAAAAAAAAAAAGACAGTAAAGAAAGAGCAAAGAAGGAAAAAAAGAGCAAAAAAACAGAAAGCACTGTAATCACAAAGAATCAGCGTAAGAGAATCTACCGTCTGATCCACCCAGAGGCAACAGTGATTAAACACCCTTGTCCCAGAAGGATTCTTGGCATACCACATATGGAGCAGACGAAGCCTCAGAGTCACCTCTCTGGTACCTCCTTTGAGATTGCAGAGCAGAGTAGCATCCATGGCGAGGAAAAAGGCGAGAAAACAACGACTGAACCACAGAGAACAAAGAGGGCAGAAAAAAAGAGGGAAATGCGTTCCGAGAATGAGTCCTCTTGTGCAAAAAGAATGAGAAATGGCCTTCTCCACCTGAGCGCACGCATCGAGGCACTGAATGAAGTCCACAGTGCTTGAAATAGTAAACTTTTTGACACACTCCCGCCATCAGGTGAATAACCGGTATCAATCAGCCGCCCACCATTCCCAAAGCACCTCCAATCCCAGTCAATCAGCAGCCAAGTTTCTCCAACATAGTCCTGCGAACAACAACCCAACACGACCCTCTAGCAATCCCTAACGGACACAATCATTACATGCAAGACTCACTGAGGACATCTGAAGGCCCCGTCCCTCAGGTGAATAACCGGTATCAATCAGTTGTCCACCATTCCCAAAGCACCTCCAACCGCAGCCAATCAGTCGCCAAGTTTCTCCAACACAGTCCTGCGAACAACAGCCGGAATCCCTAACAGACACAATGATATCACGCAAGACTTACTGAGCACATCTGAAGGCCCCATCCCACGTGGCCGGGCAGGGGCAAAGTCACATACCGATCTATGATGACCAACGCGCGTCCGGGCCACCAAACGACCGCAACTAAGGCCAACCAGAAGCCAACGACCAGTCCCACCCCGACCGAGCCTCCAAACCCCGCCAGATCCCAATGAGGCCTCACCCAACAACAGCCCACACCGAAGGACACGCCAGTTTGAAACAGTAAATCTCAGTCACGTTGTACAGTAAAAGGTGTCTGTGTGTGCAGTACACGGGCATGCGGCGGGTTTTTTTCTTTCAATTAACCTACCACAGCACTATTATTAACAATATCATCGGAGTCATTAATAAGTAACTAACAAGTTGTGTCAGTATTCATGTTCTTACCCGACCACAAAATTTTATTAATATTTTTATTTGTGTCAATATTCTCGACACCATTATCAACAAACTAACGTTACAATTTTGATAATATTCAACCACGTCGTCAACCAATATTATTAACTGACAATGCTATTATTATTAATAATATTATGGTGATTATTAACCGACGACTATATCACTATGACAAGCAGCAATATCTTCAATTTGAGGTTTTCCAGTAACGTTATTAACAAATTAACGTTATAATTTTAATAATATTCAACCACATTGTCAACCAATATAATTATATATTATTAACCAACACCGTTGCTATTATTAATTATATTATGATAATTATTAATTGGCAACGCTAGGACGATCAGAGGAGCCTTGAATTTGAGGTTTTTCAACAACATTATGAACAAATTAATGTTGAAATGTTAATAATATTCAACCACGTCGTCAACATGTATTATAATACATTATTAAACGATCACGCTATTATAATTATTATTATCATAATATGGTAATTATTAATGACGAGAACCATTGACGGTGGTTGTCGAAGAACTTGATGGTGGTTGGGGGTTCCGCCGCCAACTACGGATGAGGGAGACACGGAGGGACGGAGCTAATCAGATCTTCACCGGCGTAGACGATGGAGACAGCCGGGAAGTTTATTCACCGACAGATCCGCGGCTATAAGACGGCGGTCGTGGTCGAAGAAGGGGCGTCGCGATTTCAAAGGAGACGGTGAGAAGTTTCACCGGCAGATCCGCGGCCAAAAGACATCGCTTGTGGTTGTCGGCGCTATCCTCATCAGGTGCGGCGTGCGACAATCGATAGAAAAGGACGACGGTGACTAGGCGGTTGGTCTTCAACGGCGGACGCAGAGGAAGGAGAATGTGGGGAAGGAGACCGTGGGAGGAGAATGGTTTTTTCATTTTTATAAATAATGTAACTAATTGTTAATTATATTCCATTCTTGCCCTTATTGGTAGTTAGCCAATAATTACTAATGATCATCTCTCTCCTCCTCCTATTGGTTGACAAGGGTTTAAGATCCTTCTTAAGAAATGGGGTTTAAGGACCTGATCTAACCCGGCTCGAAACCACGTGCACATCATCCAACCGGTCGGTTGAATGAGTGTGTTTCAGTTGGTTGGTTTTTTTTTTTACGGAAACATTAGTTCATTGATAAAAATAAAACAAAAAAGTTTACATATAAAGGGTGAAGCCTATAGTAAAGGTACAATAAAGCAATAGCAAAATATTCAAACCAGAACAAGCACAGAGCTGAAAAAATCACCAACAACAACAACAGCTAAAAACCCAAAAGCTATAGTCTTCATCCAATCGCACGAACACAAAGCCGTCGTCGAAGACTTACAAAGAGTATTGGAGAGCTAGGTTGATCCCATGCTACAACAGCAACTACGATCTTCATCTTGTTCCTCTGCTCCTGCAGGTTGCTGCTAAAGTGAAGAGAAGAAGCACAGGAGGAAGTCCTCTTAGTGGAAGCATCGTTGGAACGGTGTCGTTCGTCTTTCATCCAGAAACGAGGATTAGAGTTGAAATTCAATCGTTCCATTACCCAGAGAGTCTTCGTTTTAGTTTAAACGTAGTTAGTTGATCATTGGCCACGTGTATAGATGCCATTGGTTATTTTGTTTTTCTATTTTCTTTTACTGTTGATTAGTCGTTGCTAATCACAAACCTTTTCTGCCATGTTGTATAAACCTAGTATATATTGGAATACAGAAAACCAGAAGGACTCAAGTTGAGAACCCTTCATACAAAAACTTTAATCTCATTTTCTTCTCATGGTATCAGAGCCTAGTAGCTTGAGCAACTAGGCTCTCCAATACAGTGTTAAGCAAGTTCTCAACATAAGGGGTATCTTTGTTACGATCCTAGTGAGCGGAGGATGCGGATTTCGTGTCATGTGACCTTTTTGGAGGACTTACTGTACTATGAGGCTTCTTCGATAAATGGCCTCTCGTCTCTTGATTTTCTTGTCCCGCTACCCTCATTTGATTCTCTCGCTTGTGGTCTTGGTCCAGCTAATCCTCATGATAATAATGGTGTCCAACACGATGTTGATTCAAATGCTCTCCTAAATACTCCACCAAGTACTCCTTCAGTACACACCAAGTACCCCTTTGTTTCTTGATCGTTTAAGCTTGCATTATCGCTTCTTTAGCCTATTTTACGCTAGGTTGTGTTCCTTTGTCACATTTCTGGCCCTAGCACATAAAGTGATGCGCAGGCGCAAGTTTCAAGTCAATCGGAGATCATTTGGCAATTCGGGAGAAGAAACACGAGCATGACCTGAAGAATAATGGATTTCTACCTCATATAATGGACAAATTATCATGGAAGTTTGTTATGAAAAGAAAGAGGACGAGACTACGAGCGTCTGGGTTCAAACGGCGACTGATTTGGAGTCCGGACGAGGGAGAAACGAAGCTTTGAACAGGAGCGGAGGAAGAATTACGGGCAGGAGAATTACGACCGTAATATCCCCTCCCATGCCCGTATTTTCACTGCCGAGAGGAGCTTTGGGTGCGCCCGTTCATGGGGTAAGCCCAACGTGTGTGGCACCGTTCATTGCACAAAATCGGGTTTTGGAAGAGATTTTAGTGATCCTTAGTGGGGTACTCCTACAAGGTGAAGCTAAGCTATCTCTAGTACAAGTAAAATTTTCACCCGTTGAACGGTTTGCCTACTTGAGGATGTGTTTTTAAGCGCACGGATAGAGCTTCCGACCCCCTTGATTTCATTGACCCTCCACACGAGTTGAGGAAAAGGAGTTAAAAGAAGTACTCTGGCGAGCGCTAGATGTACAAAAATTGCTCTTGCTCGACTAATAAGGGTCGACCGTGCAAAAGACTGCAGTTGGAACCCCCGCCAAGTGAATGAAAATGAAAAAAAGTAAAATGAAAGTGAAAAAGGGGTTCCAATGGTGAAATGAAGTGAAAGAGCACCCCGGTACAACGAGTCCTTGGTAGTGAATGGTGTGAGTCCCTTTATCCACGAACTGACTGTCTTACTTCTACTTCTTCTCATGGTCCTGGCTTGAGTCTAGTACTCACATTGAGAGAGATAGGGAACGTCTTAGAAGACCAGTTGACCTCGTAAGCTGCTATATGATCAAGGAAATCCTCTACCGACGATCGAGGTTGTATGTTGATATAGAGGTCTCGAGAGCTGCATTGGTTTGAGTTAGGTTTGCTTGGGGACAAGCAAACGGTTAAGTGTGGGGGAATTTGATGACTCGATATTTGCACATGTTTTCCCCTTTGTTTCTTGATCGTTTAAGCTTGCATTATCGCTTATTTGGCCTATTTTACGCTAGGTTGTGTTCCTTTGTCACATTTCAGGCCCTAGCACATAAAGTGATGCGCAGGCGCAAGTTTCAAGTCAATCGGAGATCATTTGGCAATTCGGGAGAAGAAACACGAGCATGACCTGAAGAATAATGGATTTCTACCTCATATAATGGAAAAATTATCATGGAAGTTTGTTATGAAAAGAAAGAGGACGAGACTACGAGCGTCTGGGTTCAAACGGTGACTGATTTGGAGTCCGGACGAGGGAGAAACGAAGCTTTGAACAGGAGCGGAGGAAGAATTACGGGCAGGAGAATTACGACCGTAATTTCCCCTCCCATGCCCGTATTTTCACTGCCGAGAGGAGCTTTGGGTGCGCTGAAACTTAACCAAAACGCGTGTTTTGGGCAAAATACGGGCATGGAAGAATTACGATCGTAATTCAGCCCGTAATTCGCCCAGAATCGCGTTTTTGAGGCAGATTCGAGCCAAAGGAAAGGGGGAGCTGGGTTTTTGGATCCCAAACACCCAAGGGACGAACCCTAGAGAGAGAGAGCGACTGGGGAACATTCTTGGAGCTATTTTGGAGGATTTCTTCGCCATTGGAGCTCGGGAATCAAGCTTGGAGATGGAGATTGAAGATTTAGATCAGATTTCTGCAGTCTCTCTCTTCTCTATGGAGTAACTTCCCTTCACTTAGGTTTTGAGGAACCCTAGTTCCATGAGTTAGGATCTTTCTTGTATGAAGTTTTGGATGCTATATTGTTTGAT